GATATTACAGTATTGGCATCTTTAATACTTGTGCTAGCTGTTTCTTTGTAACAAGCTTCAACGCAAGCAACCTTATTCTGTTGTTTTGTGCATTTGTCTAGATGCTCAGTTATTCTTTGTTTCAGTTCCTCTTGTTTTTCATTTAGAGGACTTTGTTCTTTCTGAAGAAAAGGTAGAGGAGAGGGTGCCTGGTTTAGGAATGAAAATGGTTCAGTAGCAAAGCTGGTTTTCTCTACTACCGACTCCCCTTGGATTGCCTCTACTATCTGAGCTACTTCTGTCAAGGCTTCAATTTCTTTTCCCTTGGTAAACCTTTGCAGTTCTTCCAGTTCTACTTCTGTGAATTCTTTATTTTGTATTATAAATTGACGTTGATCTGCTAGTCTCTGTTCTGTTATTTCTGATTCTGAATGTTGTTCTTTCCAGGATTGGTGCATTCTTTTAAGATATCCTCTTCTCATTGGACTTGATTTGTAATAGCAAATAATTATTTCTTTGTTTTCAGTCTTTGTATATTTGTGACAGGTAAGCAACTTTTCTTCCAGTAGTCCTGCAGCTGCTGGCCCTGGTTGCTCAGCCAACAGTCCTGAGTCCTATAGCCCATTTATCACCAGATGTCCAGGAACTCCAACACAGGTAAGCAACTTTTCTTCCAGTAGTCCTGCAGCTGCTGGCCCTGGTTGCTCAGCCAACAGTCCTGAGTCCTATAGCCCATTTATCACCAGATGTCCAGGAACTCCAACACAGGTAAGCAACTTTTCTTCCAGTAGTCCTGCAGCTGCTGGCCCTGGTTGCTCAGCCAACAGTCCTGAGTCCTATAGCCCATTTATCACCAGATGTCCAGGAACTCCAACACCTAGTGCGGTCCTTGTTGACCCAGGTGATGACTGATCCAATATAGGTTTCTGTAAGTTACATCTCACCATATTGTTTATGGGAGAGACACTCTTTGTCTGGCTCCTCTGATGAGACCTGTCCAGTATGGTTGAACCTCTGGCATAGCTCTCATCTTCCTCAGAGCATGTAAGCCCCACAGCCACATCAAGGACATTATTACAATTATTCTGCCTTTTTATATACTGTATATAACTCAAGGCGGCAAACATGCTTAATACTCCTGCCTCCTATTTCCCCACAACCACCAACCCTGTGAGGTGGTGGGCTGAGAGAGAGTGGCTGGTGGTAATGATATTTTTAGTTTTTGGAGCTATTTTTCTCTCTCCATCAGTAATCCAGCCCTTTTGGAGTATGTCATATAGTATTTGAGGGTATTTCTAGTTACTTCGATTTAATGTTTAATAAAGGGCAAATCTGAAATGAAGTCTTTTAATTGATGATGTTCACTGCAGCTGATGTGCATGGAAAAAAATATGTAATTTTTCCCTCTACAAAGCAAACAACAATTGGGGAGACATCTTAAATGATGGGAATGGCAATTTCTCCTCAAGTATCCCCTTGCTCTCAAATTCATCTGGCTGCATTTCAGGTTTTATTCTTTTTAAAAGTGACACACCCAGTTGCAAACATTCTTTATCTTAATCTCTCTAGAATAGGCTACCTCCTTTGCATATGGTTTCACATGGTTAGTTCAAGGCTTTTAGCAGCTGCATATTGCATTGTTTCTGTTTCCTTTAAGTTCCTTATCGTGTCTATTTTAACATTTAATTTTCTATTTGGAAAGAACTTTTTCTATTTTATAAAAATGTTCAGTAGGTTTTGAAAGGAACTGTTATTCATACTATTTATGATAAGGCAGAATCCTGCATGTCTTTGTCTGTCTGTTGTAAAATGCTGTGGTTTATATATAATAAAGCTATGAATAAATGGATTTCATTTTAATGATAAGAATTTATGTTAGAAAATAATTCCCATGGGCTTGTACTATTTGTGGGTTTGGAAGTAGAGGATTTTTTTCTTTTTTTAATCGTGCAGATGAAGTGGCTGCTTCTTGAGTAGTACCTGATGATTTTTTGGGAGTATGACATCAAAGGCCATCAAAGAGATGAATATCAGCAAGTGGGGATTCAAGTCTGGTGATTCCAAATCTGAATCAGAATTGCAGGTGTATAAGAAAGAAAATGCGGCTCTGAAAAAGTCTTTGGAAGAAATCATTAAGGGCAAAAGCAAAATGACACCTGAAGAAAGGAAGAGGCTTCTGGAGGTGATATAAATTAAGGACTGACAAATAAAACAATCTTTGCTTTGCATCTTAGTTAAAACCTGAATATTAGCTGTGAGACAAAATATTTTATAACCCAAAGTGTTCACCTTTCATCTAACTACAAAAAGGAACTAACTGATAACGGGACCCTAGCCCTTACTGTAATGTGATGTCTTAGCAGGGGGGTGGAATAGCCCTGCTTTTTCTTTGGGTGCCTTGCTGTGCTGCCTGTTAGCTTTGCTTCTAGATTTCTGCAACCACATCTGGCAATGGGATGGCAATATCGCCTTCCCTAAGAACACCCTAAATGCTTCCTTCCTTCCTTCATTTACTAGTTCCTTCTCTTCTAATGCCTATTAAGCACTCAGGGCAGGTAGTATAACTTTCACTGTTGCTGTTATGACTATTAACATACTGCAGTAGCTTTTTAAAATGATTTGTTTCTTGATTATTTCATCAGAAGAGATCTATGATTTTAGTGCATTTTTTCCCCAAGGCTTAGTTGCTCTTCCCTCTACTCTGCAACTGTGTTCTCCTAAACTCTTTTGAAGAGCCTGCACAAACTATCGTAACTTAAATAGTTTAAATAGCTTAAACTATTTAAATTATTTAAAATTTAATTGTAAAAAGCTGGCAATTGATAAGACATCATCTGAGCCGTTTATGTACACACAAGTTATTAACGTTGTACAGTTCTTGTTGGTGAAACTCCATTTTTTGGGTAGCTACTTTTTGTTTCACTTTCACATGATCCTTAACATTAAATCCCTGGCTTCATAATAATTGGAGTTAGCTGTACCTTTTTTTGTATTTTTGGTCTTTTTTAGTTACTTTGTCTTTTTTGTTTCTGCTTTTGGCGTAGTATTTTGGTAAAATATGAACATTTTAATGAGACTGTACTTTTGGCA